GGCGTCACATAGCCGGCTGGGCTGGCCGCCGAGATCGCCTGACGGCGGAGCGGGCTCGGGGAGGCGGGGCGCGGGCGCCCAAGGGGCCGGGAGAGTGTTGAGGGCGGCGGCGGGGTGCGGAGGCCGGGCAGGGGGTTCTGCCTTCCCCCACGCTTAGAAACGCCGCGCGCTCCTCTCCAAGCGGGCGCCGGGCGCCGGGTGCCGGCTGGGGAACCTCCGCGCCTGGAAAGGTCTTTCAGGCAGGGCTGTCCTAGCCTGAGTGAAAGACCCCAGTTCTGAAAAGCCTGGAAACAGCACAACAGCGGGTGGGGGTGTGTGTGTGTGTGTGTGTTTTCCATGGAAGTGCCTGGAAACAACACGAGTGTTTGTGTATGTATATGTGTGTGTATGTGTTTTTCCTGGAAAAGTCTGGAAACACAACGGATGTGTGGGGGGAGTGGGGAGGAGAATTTTCTTGGAAAAGCCTGGAAACAACACAACGAGTGTGTGTGTGTGTGTGCGTGTGTGTGTGCGTGTATTTTCCCTGGAAAAGCCTGGAAACAACACAACAGGTGCGCGCGCGTTTTCCCTAGTTCAGAAAAGCCTGAACTCAACAAAACGAATGTGTGTGTGTTTTCCCTGGAAACAATAAAATGGGTGTGTTTTCCCCAGTTCTGAAAAACTTGGAAACAACCAAACGAGTGTGTGTGTGTTTCCACTTAACTGGCAGATCCTATTCTCTCTGTGTGTGTGTGTGTGTGTGTGTGTGTGTGTGTTTATTGAACTGGTATCCTGTGTCTTCTCTCCCCCCACCCTCCAGTAACCACAGATGAGATTCTGTCCTCCTCTTAACCCTTTATCGTGAGGGAACAGGTTCAGAATGGAAAGTTGGTAGAGCCAGGGTTTGAACCTTACTCCACAGTTGGGTCTCTGAACCTTTATTATCTACCACTGACATCTGAAGAGGCTTCCAGGCCAAACATAGCCATTGCTGCAGAGAAAGCCCGCTCTGGAGAGAGGGTCTCTATGTAGCAGCCAGTGTCTGTCCTTTCAGGTAACATGCATGGAGCCCCTGATTGTGAGGCACAGTGCTGGGGGTCTTGCAGTGAACCAGGCAGCCAGGCCTAGCCCAACAGCACTCTGTTGTCCTGGGCATTCCCAGGAGGGCTGTGATAAGGCTGATAGAATGAAGCTAACTCTAAGGGAAAGGGAGACATCTGAAAGCCCCCACCAATCAGGGATTTGCAACTGTCCAGCCCTACCCTGCTCTGCCCCAGGAGACTAAGGCGCCGGGCTCACCTAGCCAACAGACACGTGATGGGATTCCTGACACCAGGAAGACAAAAGATACTTCCACACAGGGCCTCCTTGCAGAAACCAGAGACCCATCACCACTGGGATGGGACTGGGCAGAGAGGCCAAGCAGCTCCTCGTGTTACTGGGTCTTTGTCTAGAAGCCACGGTATCCAGTGTCTGCCAGGTGCCACAGCCGATGACCAAAGATGAAAGGTACAGCTCTCATACTTTCCCTCTGCAGCACAGCCCTGCCCTCAGCAGCTCCAGCTTCAGGGCTCCTAGGCAAGGCTCCCTGGCGCCCCTTTGTTCCCCTGCCTATGGCATACAAGGTGGTACCTTACAAGCACTTGTTGAGCAGCCTAAGCAGGACTTGCAGTGCCGGGACACAGCCTAAAGACCCAGCGCAAAGCCTAGCATAAAGTAGCAATGTGTTTTTCCAAATATGTCTGAGAAGCCCTGATATTAGAATCACCATTAAAAGTAGAGATCTCGTTTACTTGTATATGCCATTATATGCATAGCTTATCTCAGGAAAAATACACAAGAAATTGGTTGTTTCAGGGGATGGGAAGTAGGTGGCGGGGGAGAGGGGTGGGGGAGATTTTTCACTTGAGACCCTTTTCCATCTTTTGAATATTGATCCACAAGAATGCTTTACATATTCAAAACTTTTTTACCCCAAAAATGAATTGACTCAAGTGAGAAAATTGCAGATTCCTGGGTCTGCTTTCAAGTTAATGACTCAACCTCCCTGGGAGCTGGTTTTTCTGTCTTTACACAAGCTCTCCAGCTGATTCTCAAGCCCAGGGTAAGTGGAGAAACCTCTGTAGGTAGGGTCTTAGCAATGAATCACTGCCAAGAAGGAGCAAGCAGTGTTTGCCAGAGGTGACTGGTTTAGCTCCATACTTTCTAGATCAACTCGACCTTCCCTCAAACCATCCACACAGGAGGGCCAAGGTAGCTGTAGGACTGTGGGACAGGCTGGAAATGATTCATCTCCTCTCTTATCCATAATCACCAGCCCAAGTCAGAAAGGACTGGCCACCAGAGTCCCCTTGGGGTGTGTGGATATGAGGGCAGGGGTCTGCATCTGGTTCCAGAGATGGCTCTGAGGAGCTCACCCGTACTTCAGTCACTCCACACATTCCACTCCAAGTGTAATGAAAACCTCTACACAGGAAGGAAACAATACAAAAAGGCAAGGGATTTTGCCAAGGTAACACAGCCACTGAAGAGCAGGGCTAAGCCTCCAGCTCCAGCCATGTTTCTGCCATCGCAGCCCAGACAGTGACTCTTAGCCGCCTCCCTCAAATGCCAGAACATTTTCTAATTTACAACTGTTCCCAGCATACTACCTCCAGGGAAACTAAAGGCTTTGGATTCAAGTAGATGGGAAAATCTGTTTTTTTGTTTTTTGTTTTGTTGTTTGTTTGTGGTGAGTTCAATTCCAGAGATGATCTCCCTTTGTAGTCTTCACTGGAGTCTTCACTGCTGTAAAGCATTTACAGGATTCCTATGAGGAGCAGCCCCCTCAGCGCATCTAAAACAGGACTTTGCAGCCCAGAATTCAGTTCACGCTCAGGCACCTTCCCATGGGACAGACTCTGGACATGTGTTCCATTGCATAGGACAGCTCGACAGCTAGAAAGTAATTCAGGCCACATGGTCAAAGATCTCCTGACTGCACCTGCTTCTGGGTCAACTCTCTCGGCCATGTTCCCCTGATAGAGTGGTAAGCAGAGCCACTCTGGAGTCAGACCACCTTCCTCTGTCATGTGATTTTTGGTAAGTGACTTCACCTCTCTGAGCCTCACCTTCTACTGAAAGAGTTGGAATGAAGGCATGATAACGCCAGAGGCAGTTTTCCGAAAGGCTAGGAGTGGGGGAAGATTGGAGCCAGAGAGAACAGTGCCATGAGCTGCTGTGTGGGTCTCTGAGAAGGGAGTCTATCCCATCCGCCACCTCCTATCCCAGGGATAGGGAGAGATTTGGACCCTCAGGTTTAGGGGCTCCGAGAGAGGGAAAAGTTTGTGCCTTAGTCTGTGGGTAGGGTATAAATAATCTCCCATGAGAAGGTTCTGTGGCAGTCAAGTAGAAACGGCAGCTGGGTATGCCCAAGCAGCCTAATGTGTGAGAATCCCAGGGCGCATCAGAATATGTCCTGAGGCCCTAAAAAAGCATGAAAGACAGGCAGATGACCAGAAAAGGACACCCGGGATGTAATCAATGGAGCACTAAAGCAGACGAACCTAGACTATCCAAGCCAGAGGCCATGGCACAAATGCAGACCTCTGTGAGCACAGCAGAAGCCAAGGGTGACCACCCACGGCTGGCAAGGATGAGGTCTGTCTGCCTTCCTGAGCAGTAGAGAAAGATGATGATGACCAGGGACTAGACACCCTTTATCCCCTCACCTCCCACTCCATGTCATGAACACATAAGCTGTGCAGAATATAGCTGTGACCCTGGATGGGAGTGGAGGGACAGAGCCCTCAACTTTATTGAGTGTTCTCCTGAAATGACTGAGTGATCATGTACTTTCTTGACTGAATCTGCCAGGAAGTGATCAGGTTATAGTTCAAATGGAAATAAGTGCTGTAGAAAGTAATTAAGTAAATGAGAGAGCTGCCATTTTGGCACACTCAAGTAGTATTCTGACTCTAACATTTTCTACAGCCACAGGTGCACAGGCATCACGTAGACCTGCTGTTGCCCATCTGCTGCTACCATCCCACTTGATCAGGGACAAGTGGCTCACCCTCACTGAACCCCAGTCTCCTTGTCTGTAAAGTGGGGCTTATAACAGTATTGAAGCATCACAGGAGTTTTGTAAAAATTAATGATTTTAGTCACCAGAATAGCTAAACTTAAAAGAATGACAATGCCAAGGGTTTGTTAGCAGGGATGTGGAACAGTTGGAACTTTCATACATCGCTGTTGGGAGTACCAATCGGTCCACTTCAGAAAACTGGCACTACCGATGAAAGCTAAACGTGCATGTACCCAGTGGCCTACCAGTTCCAATTCTGGACAAAATAAGTGCTTATGTCCACCAAAAATATGTTTAAGAATGTTCACAGCTGCTTCATTCATAATAGTCAAAAACTAGAGCAAATGAATCAAGCTATAAAATGAAAGAAACTGTAATATATTCATATAATGGAATATTAAACAGCAATGAAAGAGAAACATACAATACCATGGATGAATCACAAGGACAATGTTCCATGAAAGAAGCTAGACACAAGAGACTTATCGTATTGAGTCCATTGAAATGAAGACCAAAAAAAGAAAAAACAAAAACCCAGGCAAAAACTAAGGTGAGAGAAGAAGGAATAATGGTTACCTTTGACAGGGAGTAGGTATTCATGAGGGAAGTATCTGGGATGTTACACATTTTCTATCTTGATCCAGGCGATGGTTTCATGGGTGTATGCATATATAAAAATTCAACAAGCTACAAGTATATGCGTGTACTTTGCTGCAT